CTATTTTAGGTCAAGAACTTGACATATCCTTCATTGCATTATATATGAAACACATTTCTTCATATCTCCAGGGTGCGATCAACTTGCTTATGGCTGTTTACAAGAAGGAATTTAAGTCACTTGACGGCTATCTAACTGATGGATGCAAGGTGCTTATTCTCATTTGATATTGGACTAGTTAGCAGATTTATTCAGATCTGTATCCTTCCTTTTACAATACACCATTATGTACATGGTTTTGACTCTAGCTTTTACTGTTCCAGCCAAATTTAAAGAGGGTGGAGCAGTTTATTCAGGCTGTTGGATCGTTCGAAGATAAGATATTCCAGAAAAGAACCAGGTTACATCAGGTACAGCGACTTTCTTAAGAACCATACATTTTTTTGGCTTTTTAGTAGTAAGGCTCATTACCTGAGTAGCCATTTATCTGCTATTGGCATATCTGATTTATGTAACTGGCACGACAGTTACCTTTTCCTATTTGATAGCTTTTTTTTGTTTCACTTTGCTGTAACCGATGACTTATCATATGTTTTTAAATTTTAAGTAATAGAGCTTGCAGAGATGATTAATACTTCCATAGTCTTGTAAAATTCATCTAGTTAAATTTTCATGGAAACTACATTGGGGTCTATATGTATCCTCAAGTTTCGTAGAGGGTATGCGAATCTTGTTAAGTATCTTTATTGCTACATTAGGGTCATTCGGAAACCCTTGACCAGATAAAACCTGCTGGAATCCTCTGCACATAATTTGTTAATTTGTAAAATCCATTTAAATAGAATTACATGGCTCCACAGTGGGGTTTTTTTTTTTAATCTCAACAAGATATGGATATAACAATTCTTTTGTAGTGATGTACTGATGCTTCTTATTGCTCTGGTTTATATCAGAGGCAAGCGGAAAGAATAAAGCGAGATAAGGCTCATCCAAGAAGAATGGATGATGCAGCTCCGACAGTTCAACCAGATCTTGTTCCGGTTGCAAAATTTAGTGGTTCTCGACTTGCTTCAGCTCCTACACCTTCACCGTTTCAGTCTAATGGTGGAAGGTCTGGTCCGCCTCAAAAAGCTCGACGTGTATCTTCAGAATCCAGTATTGGTGCTGCTATTGTTGATGTCGAAAACAGTCTTGAATCTGATGTATGCATTCCTGCCTCTGGAGAGGCACCTTCTTATGTCATTGTGGAGTTGAGAGTGGATGAGCTTTTATAAGTGAACAATCATTTTATTTTGTCTGCTTATTTCAGGAACACGAGAATAAAGAAGAACTGAAGACAAAGCTCAAGGAGTTAATCCGTGAGAAATCTGATGCTTTCAACTCGGGTACTCAGGAAGAGGATAAGGTTCTTTCTAGTGGATCA